GGCCTGGGAGAAGGGGACCCCGGGATGCCGCCGGGGACCGCCGCAGCCTCCCTCGTCCGACGCCTGGGAGCACCTCTCCCGCCCGGGGGAGAGGGGAGAGCCAGCGAGCGAACGCACGGAGCGGGGCCTGCTCCGTTTCCCCGGTTTGGCACTTGCAGTTGGCTCATGGGTTTGTGGTATTCGGTTTCAGGCTTAGGGATTTCAACCAGCCGGCGCTGCTCCTGGGAGGAAGGAAGAGTGAGCTATACTTTTCTCATTGGCCCGAACAAAAAACAGAAGCCTCTGCTGGGGTTTGGGAGTGGTTTATGGGCTGAGCTCAGTGGCAGGGGGGCGCACGACCTGAGACAGGAGCCGTATGGTGCGCTGCACCTCTTGCGAGAGAGAAGGAGCTGAGCTCAGGGTAATGCTGCCGCTGCGTACGCCCGCGCGTCTCCCCGAGTTCATGTGCATGTGCGTTGCGCCTCTGCCTTCCCCCGCTGCGCCCGTGCGCGTCCGCATCCCGGCGCGGCTGTCGCTGCCTTTGTTTCTCTCTTTGCTTGCGGGTTTGTAGCGATGCGTGGCGAGTGCATTGTGGGCTTGCCTGGGAGTGTGGTATCTGCGCTGGCTTGTGGAGCGGTGGCTCTGTGGTGCTTCGGTGTTCCCAGCTCTCTGCGTTCGCTTGGTGGTTTAGCTTCATTTGCACCATCTCCCTCCCTCTCTTTTTTTTGGGGGGGTGGGGGAAGATCTCTGTGTGTTCTTCTCTGAGTTTGCAGGTTACTCCATATTTCTTCGCATCGTTTCTCTAACAAATTTCCCCAGATTTCTGGGGGGAAAGTTCCCCTTTCCCCCACACCACAAATCCTTCCTCAAAATAACAATACGTTAACTCAGACAATTTCAGGCTTGTGGAGAGCATAAAACAAACTCTTCAGTGGGGAAGGGAAGCTCCCCCACAACAGATTACAAGCAGCTGCATGTTTTAAAACCCTAACTGAGGCTGTGCAGGGAGATAAAGTGGAGTATGCAGGGATTGGATGTGGTAGCAGTTGGGAAAAAAATTAAAGTTCGGGCATCTTTTGCATCGCCTGGTTTTTCAGGGGGTAAGTCTGGTCAGATTGTCTCTCCATGCCCTGCTTGGGGTTGTGTTCCTGTAACCCACTTTACCTGCTCTGGCCCAGAGTGCTGAAGGCAGAGAGCTGTGACCAGAGCACACAGTGGGATGTAGTTTCTAGATTTCTTTCAACATGGATGCTGTGTTATGGCTTTCTCCTTTTTTTTTTTTTTTGATTAATTTTTTTTTTTCCCCCCTCTGTTATGAAGAAACCTGAAAAGTTGAGTCGTTCCCCAAATTAGCAGCTGTTAGTGATGAGAAGGCGCTTGCTGAGGTTGGAGCCGAGCGGTGTATAAGATTAGCTGTGGCATGGAGCTGTGCTGGGACCATGTGACTGCGGTGTACATTGGAAGAGGAAGCTGTAGAGGTCAATGCAAAGGCATTGTGCCAGACTCTGGCAACAAGGGAGATTGCTATATGGTGGAAGATCGCTTTTTCAGGCTCCTGAGCCTTTCGCTAGCTCTTTGGGTTGGATAAAAGCAACCCTATAAGATTAACATCAGAAATTAAATATGGAATGGATCGTTTGTGGATGGAAAGAAAAACTGGGTTTTTTTCCAAATGCTTTGTAGGTTTTTATTAATCACCATATGTGGCTCTTTCACTAAAACCACCTTTATTGGAATGGAGATTGTTGTGTTTAGAGGCGTTTCAAGAAAACAGAGGGGAAAAAGGGGAAAAACAAGGAGAAAGAAAAAAAAAAAGAGTTGCGTGTTCACAGTTATATCTGCCATGTGTTTTCTCACAAAACCAAATTTTAAGCACTTTGACGGAGAATTCAATCCTGTTATTTCCTCTCTGAATATAAACAGATCGACAGCTTCAAGTTTTGATTATTGACTACCAAGGAGTAAATAAAACTGGCTAACGCTTAGGCCATTTATGCTCTTTCAGCATCTCTTAATATGAATGGTGAATTGTCGGTAGGTAGCGTTGTTTTAGAACATTTTTGTTAGTGTGATGTATTTTACATCTGACCTTTTGGAAACTGAAAATAATTGATTCCATAAGGATTTGAATTTTTTACTTTAAAACAACATGAACCTCTAATACTCAACAGTGCCCACAAACTGAGAATTTCCATGTTGTTTTTTTGTTTTATGAGCAATTATTCAATCTGTGACTTTTTCCAGTTTGGCTGGGAGAAAGGCAACTTCCTTTCTGGGCTTCTTTTATTGTTTTTAAATTCTATCTGACTTGTAATCAACAACATCTTGGTAGAGAAAACATAAAAGGAGAAATTAAAAAAAAATGTATTTGGGAGGGGAGGACTCATATTTTGAAATGGAGCATATTGAGAGTCTAGACAGCTTCTTGGCTAGCTGTGATTTTTGAAGCATCTGAAATACCCCAGGGGCAGAAAAAGCTCTCTTCCTGCTTCTGAAGGATTAAAAAAAAAAAATAAATTCCAGAGTGGGCAAGAGGAGAGACATGTAATTGCACAAGGAGAGGTTTTAATTGTGAGATGAAGGCGTAGGACCTTTTTTGAAGCCCACAAATTGACTGTCTTCATGACAGCATTGCGTATCATTCTGTGAACTCCGGCTCGGGATGTGGTTGCTAGGCAGCGGGCTCTTATGTACCTATAGTCTCTCTGATTTGCCAGCCTTCTGCAGACACATGGTAAGGTCCTTTCCAGCCTATCATCTAGAGGGACTTTTGCACGCCTTCTGCATACTGCTGAGATTCTCTCTACCTGAATGTGGTGAGAAAAAGACACAGTTAAATGAAACCTTTTTTCTTTTTTTTTTCTTTTTTTTTTTTTTTTTACAAATCCCGTTCTGGTCCTGTTTCCATACCCCCCCTCAAAAAAAAAAACAACCACCCCCACCCCCCCCCAAAAAAAGCCATGAAACGGAGACCGGAACAAGGAAAAGAGGTTAGTGGGTTAAGTGGTGTGTGTTTCCTGCGTTTGCAAAGGTGCCTATAGTGAGAAGGGCGGCTGTAATTCGGCCATTAGTTACAGATGGTGGCTGGAGGCTTGAGATTCATGCAGCGAGATGAGAGCTCTTGTATCTCTTTTCCAGTGATGCCGACTTTAAACTGCTTTGAAAACCTGAATCAAGACGGCATTAAAAAATAGTGGATTTGATACTTAGCGATGCGGCCAGCTGGTTCCTTTATGTATTTTGACGCAGAAATGCCTAGAAATGTGAACAAAAAGCAGTTAATTTGCCAAATGAGGTTTCTGTCCCCCAATCTTTGCAAAAATGGCATTAGTGGCAAGTAGGTAAAGAGCATTCAGGAGGATTTGTAAGCGAATTAGATTTTTCAAAACTTCGCTCTTTGAAGCCATTTGTGTACAACTTTTGGAGAAGGTTATGTCTTTCAAGCGGTGAAGGGAGAGCATTAAACAGATCACCCTGGGGATTGGCAGTGGCAGAAGAAATATTTCTGAACAGCATAAGTTTTAATGTTTTTCCATTCCTTAACTCTGAAAGCTTTCGTTCCAGTTGTATGAATAGCAAACTCAACCTCAGAGATACGCAATTTTCAGCAGAAACCTAGCTACAGTTACTTCATGAGACAAACCCCAGTACTATAAATGCAGAAACTTAATTGGTGGAAACAGTATCGCACATGCAGTTAACCTCTGCAAATTCAGACATGAAGAATACTGTTTCAGACTGATTCATTTTTGTCCTTCACTCTGCTTACAGGTACTGTTTGATGAGTGTGAAAGGATGCTTCACTGATTTTCATATTGATTTTGGTGGCACTTCAGTGTGGTATCACGTTTTCCGTGGCGGGAAGGTAGGTGAACCTTGTTGTTTGATATTTAGTTTTATTTCTCTACGCCTCTTATGGAGGGGAGGGGTTGCTTGCTTTTATTTTTCTTTTTTTCCTCTTTTTTGGGGGGGATAGTCAGTGATCAGTCTATTTCAGCTAGCTTTGTTAATGTACAGGGAGTTTGCTGAACTAGAAGGATACCATTCACCTTTATGAAACAAACGAATGATTTATTTGAAATATCAAATGTTTTATTTGGTGGTGGTAGTGCTTTTAGGCTTGTTACTGCTGCATGGTTTAGAAGTGTAGTGCAGTGAGTACGTGGCTGTGTGTACCCTTGTTGGGTCAGAGTGCCCTCACAAGTCTCCTTCTGTAGCTAGAGCTTCTGTTTCCTTTTAGAGATTCCACGTTCCTTTAGCGTGCACATGCACACTATGCCTGAACTGAAATATTACAGGATACAGAAGTGTTAAAATATACAGCATGTATGGCTACGTTCACATCTTTACTGTTTTAGGTTGCTTTTCCCAATTCTAGTATAGACAGCATATGGTGGGAACTGAAATAAACACTGCAGATTGAAAATCTCTGTGGTACAGATACCGTTCATCTATATAGTCCAATGAAGTTGTGCTATACCAACACATTGTTTTGAACTGAAAGTAAACTCTGCAGGCATCTTCTGAGTAAGATGTCTCATGGAAGAGAGATGACAACTGACAGTTATCTTGCCACTTCCAGCACATGGGCTAATTGCTGCTGCTGTCTGCTGTGTGCCTCTGTGTACAACACCTGGTGTTTTATGCAGAAAGCAGGCTTGGTGTTACATGTTCATTTGTCTAACACATGATAACCTCGTTGGAATTTCTCAGCTATTTATTTATGTTGACTGTTGCTAATAGTTAAATCTTTGTTTTATTTTTAGATCTTCTGGCTGATTCCGCCTACTCTGCAGAATCTAGAACTTTACGAAGAATGGGTTCTCTCAGGAAAGCAAAGTGATATCTTTCTGGGAGACAGGGTGGAACGATGCCAAAGAATTGAGCTGAAACAAGGCTATACGTTCTTCATTCCTTCAGGTATCACTTGTTAACTAACTATTTTTGGAATCACTGGAACTGTGTTTGGCTAACGGTTCTCTGTAAAGCAGTCCTTCATATCTAAACCCAGTATTGACCTCTTTCTGTGCTACGGCAAAATAAAGGCTAGGGACTGAATGCACTTAATTTACCAGAAGTTGCCCCATCCAGACTGATGAAAAACGTACTGTGAGGAAGTGCGTGCAGTGATCACTTGTTCTGTACTGGGGAAAAGGAGAGAGAACTTGGGTCTTTGGGGCTGTCAGTCCACCGCTTCTTGTCAGAGTCATACTGACTTTTGCTATTGTTAGCTTTCCTGGGAGAATACTTTTCTGGTTTTGTGATCTCTTCTGGCAGGTTTTACCTGCAGTTCAGTAACCTACTTCTTTGCCTCTCTCTGTAGCCAGAGGTGGGTCTTGATTCCGTGATGGAGCTCAGTGGAGATTCCAGTACTTGGAAGAGCAGATGTTGTGCTCCCTCAGGGTTGCTTCTTGGGGAAACAACTTTATTTTACTGTCACAACTCTTCAGAACTTCTGCTGATGGAAATTGTGCTCAATCTGGACATCTTCCAGTAGCCCAGCCACACTTAATTTTTACACTACTGCCCACTTCAGTAGCTGTGTTGCATGATTCAGGCTCTTCTTGCAAAGCAACCAAATAGTTGCTGCTTTGAAGGCTGGTGAATTCAGCCCTTTCTGCTCCTGCCTAAATTGGATTAGGATGGTGCAATCTGTAACACTTCTCATTTAAGATGATACCAAGTTTTGCCCTCGTTGACTATTGTGGGACCATAAGTTTGTTTAGACAGAGGCAATGTGTTACATCATTTTAGTGGATCTTACCAGGCAAATATAGGTAGCCTTTCTACATGACAGAAAGACAGGTTGGTGGTTTGTCAGCTCTGGAGTTACTCTGTGGAGATGGGATTATTATTTTTTAATCCTGGAGACAGAGAGAATGCAGGTCATGCGAAGACAGCAACAATATTCTTGCCAGCTAGGGAACATTATTGTTATTGGTTGAAGGCCACAAATTTGCACATTTGTAAGTATTTGGTAAGAATCAACCTGGGAGGTGACAGGCAAAATGACTTTGAGGGTGGAGGAGTTAATCCATTAAAGGAATTAGGTCTTCCCTTGAAACAGGTCAGAATGTGCTGTTACTGTTTGAACTGGGTGTTTGAGTGTGCCTGTGCTGTTTGCTTAGATCCCATTACTGCATCTTCGTATTTATCTTCATTCCCCTGTGAACAGCCTCCTACGAATAAGACTTTCTGTATGTTAGTTTAGTCATGCTCAGCAGCTGGAATACAGCAAGTTGTGGGAGCTTGTACAGGACAAAACTGTAACATGGTGGCTGAAGTGAAGTGATTCCAAATGTGTTTTTTGACTGTAGTTTCTGTTTTCTTAGGAAAGCCCAAAGTACAGAAATGCCAATACCTCAGACGTTTTAGGCTCCGTGCCATATTTGAAAGGCATATATGAATAATTTCTCTCTAAGCACCTCATGGACTCAAGGGTTCTTGCTCTGCTGTATTTTGTTCGGAAAACTTATTTGCAAATCTCTTATTTATGTGAAAGGGCATTATTTCTATGTTCGTTTTAAGAGCATGGAAATGCCTAATTAAAGGCTGTTCCAGGTCAGTGAATTGAACATAGCTGTGTAAAGCAGGTCAATTCCTACAACCTCTTTGCTCTGGTTTGTGCACGTATCATGTTAGTTAATGTTTGAATGTGTTTTGTATGTACTTTACAAGCATTCGTAGTGTTCAGGTTCTGATAACGGGTGCCTGTAAAACCAGCATGTCCCATACTTTCAGTTGAGCCTGATAAACTCTTGACCAGCCTCAACTCATCCATGAGGCAAATGCCTTCTAATTACAGGTCTGGTCACAGAAGGTGTAGAGTGATATAGCTAGTGCCTAGCTGGACTGTTAATGGAGAATGTTTCAGCAAAGGACCTTTTCCATAAAATATCCTGCTCTGCTCCTGTTTTCAAGTAATTTTTGGGAGTGGTCCTAGAAATGCTATTATACCCTAGCAGCATAAGGATGAAGTAGGTAGAGAAGGCTTTAACAAGACAGGCGAGGGAGCGAGATCATAGGCTTGTGGGAGATGGAAGGTTTCTCTGAGAATCTAGGATCAGCAGTAGATCCAGTAAATCCCTGAAATTACAAACCACTTGGACAAGAATGGGAATTATTCTTACAGAAGGCGTAACTATAGTGCTCAGCGGGGCCTCAGGGTGTTTTCCTCTCCATCACTGCCATCATCCTTTCAGGATTAAGTTTAAACCAGTTAATTTCTACCTGTGCTTCTAACCCTGCAAAGCACTAAGAGGCACGATCACAGCTGTGGTATCAAGGAGAAATTGAGCAAGTACTGTCAGCATAGTGAGTTGTTACGGTCCAAGGTGCATCTTGCAGCATTTTAGGAGTCCCTCCTAAGTATGGGGTGGGGGGGAGTAAGCTGGGATTCGGAGGGATACTGTGTCTGGGGCCTTGCGTAGGAGTCAAGCTGTACTTCTGATGGCCCCATAGGACTTCTCCAAACGAGCGATGCACCGTTACAAGTTCTCACCTCCCACTTTACCAGTTCCCACTGATGAGTCAAGGATGATAACTCTGGTAAAGTCTGTGGTAAAGTGATAAAATCAACTAGAAACCTGGCCTTGTCCTTTAATATAATTGTCTATACTGCTCTCAGCATAATTGTTGATTGAGAAATATACCGCATTGTGCCATTCTGAGGTTTATGGCCAGATGTAGATTTAAGATGTAAAAACAGCTGAAGGTTCAAGAGGGGAGGAAGCTATAGTCACTACCAGTGTCAGTGAATTACTGTTTTGTTTCTGTAGAAATCTGACTGTTGTTTTCCCAGGATGGGAGAGAACCTGTCCTTACACAGGAGGACATTAGTAAAGAAAGCTACAGCCCTAGGGTGTTTGCACTGTGTATGTTACCATGAGCAATGTTTAATCTTTCATATGGTTACATGTTCAATGCAGATGGAATTTGGTCAAGGTAACACATCTTACTCTGGTATAGTGGACAGTGGATGCTGCATATCTGACCCACCTGCCAAATAGAAGGGAAATTCTTTATAAGAGTGTGCTTCTCTTTTTAGGTATAAACTGTGATGATCTGGAAGAGGAAAAGCATAATCTCAGTGCTCAGTTACTGTCTCAGTAGGGAAACAACAAAATTTTATCAGTCACAATCAAATCCAGAGCTTGTCCAGTATTATTTGTGCTGTAGCTTTCTTCTGTACTCTGTGTGTGTCCAGTGATGACTTGCAGGGAGGATGTGTGAAGTGTTTGGAGTCCATGGTGGTGGTGTTACGGAGAACTAGTTTAGATATCTCTCATCACTGTACTAGGGACATGCAGAACCAGTGTTTGGGCAGCATCCATCAGATTTCTACAACTCAGGATTACTGTAGGCACATGTTCTGGCTTGTACACAGCCACTTGTTCTGTTACGTCCTGATTGCTCCGCTACAGCCTGTTTGAAATACTGCTCACTAAGTTAATGCCAATGCGTTACACATTTTTGAAATACCTTTAGTGCTTCTTTTACTTTTAAGTATTTTTTACATCTCCTTTTACATCACTGTATAACTTCACTGGAGCCTTTTCTCTGTCCTCCTCTTGCCCTTCAACTGCCACTCCAATCTTTATGCTCTATAAACCATCTTTTACTTCTATCCTTGCACTTGTTTTCTGCAAGTGGTGCATTATGCATCAGATTTCCTTCTGTCTCAATTCTCTGAACACCATGTTAGTTTCTCTTGCGTACTCCTGAACGTCACTGCTGTTACCTAAACCCAAGCTCAAAACTAAGCATACACAAAATAAAAAAGTCATCCTTTTTCAATCCACTCGCTCTTTTGAGTCTTTTAGTCTTGCTGAATACGTCATTTTTGATTGTAAGTGATGGAGCTCTGACATGGATATTGTACTTCTCCTCCTTCCCTGTTGTCCTCTACAAACAAGATCTTGCAGTAGTTTGAAATATGTTAAGCTTGTTTGATTTTTTTTTTCTCAATTTTCTGCCAGACCTCTCTTTCAGAAAAATGACCTTTTCTTCCATGCATGTCTATATATGCTTGGTGTAGACACTTGCACTTGAAATTCAAGACAGTTTGCACATGCAAAATTAGAACGTACAAAAGCAGGCCAACTAGTAGTCTCTTGTGGCAAACTTGCCTTGCAGTATTTGTCTCTTGTTAATATTGTAAAGTAAGAGTATAATCATGATGTGTCTTGAGAATAAGAACTCGAGCCAGTTCTGGATTGTTACTGATAATGTAGTCTGCCAGAATATGGATGAACTTGGATTTTCTTCTCTTTTTGCGAAGGCCAGTTTCACTGACCTCCAAGGAAGTTGCCACACCTACTGTGGATACAGTTTGATCCTAGGGTTTGCAGTGTGATTGGTCTACAAAAGTTTGCAAACATACTGGCTTTGGTTCCTTTGGGGGGAGACAGCCAGTACTACCAAGGGTTACTCTAATCATCCTCTGTTTCTTACAGTCTTTTTCTGAGCCTCTGCTGCTGGCCAGAGGCAGTAGACTCATGAGCAGGTATGCTTTTGACTTGACTCTGCATGGGTGTTCTTCCTGTAGACTTTCCAACTATGTAGCTTTAATGTGACTACATTGAAGAGATGAGGTGTTACGATGTGTGTGAACTGGTGGTTTAGAGAGCTGTGTTTGTGGGGGAGCACAAATCCTCAAGTAGCCGGGCCATTTTGGATGACTCTTGTCTATTCTTTAAATCTGACAGTAATGGTCCCAGTAACAGACTGCTACATGGTCCAAAAAATAATGGTCCAGGAAGTCACTGTGCATTTTTTATTTTTGAAAATTTAATAATGGACTGCCATTAGATATTGTAGAAGACTTTTGCAGTGCTGATTTATTAGACATTCCTATGATCAAAATCCAGAAAGGGTAACTTACTGTCAACTGGACGTGGCCTTCCTTTCTGGTTCTTCTT